TATTTTTCCAACTTCTAATAATTAATTCTACTTAGATATATAAAGTAATACTTCTATTTCGGAAATTAATTATTTATTTAAATTATTAATTTATATATTTCCATTCAAATCGTTACTTTTAAATCTTTTGTCCTGATACCTTTTGTTTACCTATTTTAAAGATAACCAATTTTGAAATATGTGCCTAAGCAAATTAAACTTTTGATTTTATCTAAAATTTTGAAATAATATAATGTATCATTTCTTTTCACATTAATGGGTGCATGTAGAAACTATTTATGATTAATGGGCTTTCAATTTCTCATTCTTGGTGAGAAACAGACCTACAAATAAGTTATGTTCAGAGTCCATGTGTTATTAATTTTAATTTGATATAAAGTACATGTTATATCTTATGAAACACGTTATAGTTACGTTTTGTAATTTGGAAGTACCTCTTGCGCATTGTCTTGTTATTAAAATTTTCCCTTTCTTCTATTATGTTGCTTAAGTTGCATATTTAAAAATTTTAGCCATATACATAGCTTGAATAAAAAGACAATACTTGCTCATCTGGAATTTTTAAACAGAGTATGTCCAACATATATATAAATGTAGAAGAAAAACTAATACAGAGGAAGGGTGCGGCTTTAGTCTTCCTTTCTAAGAAATAAAGAATAAACAGAATAGATAGTATATATTTACTTTTACATTCAATCTATATTATAAAAATTATCTTGATCTAGAAATCATTAACCCAAAACTTTATGCAACGAAACAAACAATTTAGCCTACAATTACGGAATATGCAAACAAAACACCCCAGGCCAGTACTATATCTAACAATCTAACACACTACGTAGAAGGATTTTGGTGAAACCTTCATCTTCTTATCATCTCTACCATTTGCTTCTTTTCAGCCACAGCTCTCGAACGCATCTTCCCCGCCGACTGCTGCTGTGCTCTCAATCTATTTTAAAAGTATATTATATTATAAGCAACGACCACTAAATTTTGTTGCAGCTTTATTTAATTTCCTTACTCACCAACTAAAAGTTCATGGTAGTACAAAGCTATACACGAGAAAATTAAATTTCTAAGTTATGCACAGATGATACGGCTGCCGAGCTACGGTATATATAGCGTGCTAATGAAAGGATTGGAATATATCAGAAATATTATTTGTCTTTTCATTTCCCCCATGTGTTCATTTACAATTTCAATGTATGTGCCGTTTTCCCTTGTCTAAGCGCTCTCTGGATACTTCCCATGTTTCCATGCCAAAATTAGTGCGCCGAGGATTTTTAAAACCGACCTCAATTAGAGAGTGCCCTAGATAACTTCAACTATTAATTAAACATTAAATGCATGACAAATATTTGTATACATAATATTCCATCACATGTTTCAATGCCAAAATATCACACGGAGAACATCAAGCCAAAATGCATTACCTTGAGCATCAAGCCATGTGTTTTGGCGGAAACTTGTTCCCCATGAATCCTTTTGTTATTATATTAAGATAGATAGTAATGAAATGATAAAAATAAAGAATGTTTTAACCAAAATATGCTAAACTAAATATGAATTAAACGGGAATCAAGCAAATAAGAATCGACAATAATTTTATTAAGAATAATCGCAATTGAGTATGAAAGAAGAATTGAATAGCTCGAAAATGAAGAATAATGGTGCTAGATGGTGTTTATCGTGTCCCCCTTACAAGAGCTATTCTTTGAATATATATACATCAAACCTAGAGTTATAAAAGGAATTTGAATCATCATAATTAAAGTGGATAATAATGATATTAAATACTGAGCATATGAAGATGGAAAAATCCTTGTATGTCTCAATTAATTAGGGAAAGTAGGAGCCTTCTCCTCCAAGTCTTGGACTTCCCTTTCTTTCAAATATTCTTTCCATTTTTGGTCGGATGACACATTGACCACCCCGATTATTTCCTTGTCGATATGGACTCGCTTTGGCTGACCGGCCGGGCTTCTTTCTTGCCGCCGATGGGCCGCTTGTGGCTGTTCGAGAGAACGCGGTCCCGATGATTTCTAGGTCCAAATACTAGACAATTTCCGGGCCCAACAAGGACCGAGGGAATATAAACTTGTTCTTTACATTGTTCCAACTAGATACTCACCCGCGCGATGCGCGGATGAAAACTTACCAGTTTGTGATTATGAAGTCTATTATAAAAACTTAAAAAGAATTGGATACGTATAGAATGAAATGGTAAGTAATGTAATAAATGTTTGTAGTTAAAGAGAAATTGAAACATCGTAGAAGAAGGGCAAATGTAGCTCCAAGAACATGATTTTCAAGCCTTGTAATAATCAAGCTTGTGCCATTGCATAAGCTCATAGAATGATCAACGTTTTTTGAAGAATAAAACCAAAACCCAAAAATTCATTTGTTTGAATTTTTCTTAAAATAAAAAAATTTTAAATTATATACAAATATACATATAAATCCAAATTTGATACACTTCTTAAATCTTAAATTACATAAAGCCAATGGCCTTATAAAAGGAACTGAACCACACTTATAATTCGTAATTACAAATAATAATGAATTATAAAAATTAAATAATTTTGATTTTAACAAATATTAATTAAAGAAGCCAATGATATCATAAAAAAATTTAAAAATTAAATATTTTCGATTTTTATTCAAATTAAATTTTTATTGGTCTAAGAATTAGGCTCAATAGTTCATACTTCAATTTGATCCAATTCTAGCCACTTATGTCCAACATCCCTATTAATAAAAAACCTACACACTTCTGGATTTTATTATAATGATAATTTAATGGTCTAAGAATTAGTACCGAAAATTCATAGCTTGGATTATAATTGGACCCAATTGTAGCTTTTTTTTTTTTACCCAATAACCCAATTAATTTACACATTTACGCCTACCCTACCCAATCCAACAACGGTATCAACCCTAATATTAAATCCGTAAACCTACCCGACCCAACCCCTTAATATATAATCCCAACATACTCCGTACCTCTCCATTTCTGGAGACTCATCGGTTATACTCTTACACCGATGGTCTCCAGAACATTCACCGCTCTCTTCGTACATAACCTACTCCTTCGTGTATGCCATCGTCTAGCCCTTCGTCTTACCACTTTTCCGGTCATCTGTGAAGGTCAGTGAGGTGTTAAGGCGAGATGTTTAACGGCGATTATCATCGTCCGTGGATTCCGCGGTTGCGTCTTAGTCATTTGGTATATCCTCTATCCAAACATTCGTCCTCAAATATTTGTTTCATTTTCAACAATTCGTATCTATATTTTCTACCGATTTTCACAACTCTCATTTGACCGAGCGTTCTTGTAATTTGTTTCACCAAATTATACTTTTTTTCTCGCATGCATGACATTTTGTAATAGATTTGATTTTTTGACGAATCGATTTTCAAAGTTTTTACTAACATATGTTGATTTGTTGAATTCTATACCGTTTGAGGATAAAAAAAACCTGTCGGATATACCATTTTGATCGCCAGATCTGTCAAAATATCAGATCTGTGTATGGTGATCGATGAACATGATTTTTGTTTTTTAATTTGGTGTTGACATAGCAAATCTTTTGTTTGAATTGAAGTGACAAATACATACTATTATCTCTAAATATTGAGATTTAATGTATAGTTTGTCATACATGAAGTTAGCTTTACAAATGAGAAAGGTGATTACAGATAATAATAATGAAACAAATTTTTTTGTGTTCCTTGTCTTTTGGTGAATCTTTTTGTAGTTTGCTTTAAACTGCTCAAATACGAAGTATTATTTTGTATTCCTTGTATATCTATTAAATATTAAATATTTATAAAAATATCTAATAAAAATTGATTTTTACAATGGTTATAATTTATATCCATTATTCTATAATTATATATACTATGATCTTACAATACAATATTCACTCTATATACTACGTACATCAGTGCATGTATATTTATATACCATTATGGTATATATACTATAAACTATGTATATTATATACTTTTATATTTATATGCCGTGATGGCATAAATACTACTCCGTATATATTATGTATTTCGCATAGCTATGAATACCATCTGCCCCACACGTCCAATATACTCCACTATGATCCAAAAGAATTTTGTCACCCCGGAACATAAATTTTATATCTTAAATGAAAATTAGATATGTAGATCCAAAAAATTGTAGTTTATACAGGTCTCAAACTACCTGAGATCTAATACAGACCAACTTCATCCTCTGTCCTCCCTTGGCCTGAGGAGGCAATGCATACCACCTTCACTTTAATGACCCAAGTAGTCTTGGTGTGATCAACATCTAGGAGAAAAGAATACATTCCTTGATTTGCTGCCGGCCATTGAACAAATTGTTATGAGAGTGGATGATGTTGTGTGTGGGATGGAAATTCAATGACTGAAGTAGCCTATTTATATTGTTGTAGAGGCAAAATCTACTCTAGTTTCCGGTGGATATTAACACCAATAACCAATGGATAACCAATATATTCACACAACCAATTCGAATTTGCTTTTGTACTTGCAAAGCATTTAATATCATTGTCCTTTAAAGATCACTTCTAAGATATGAGATCTATTACATTAAATGCACAAAAAAGTACTCCGTATTAAGTACATTGAACCCTGCGAATAATTTTAAATTCTAATAAATAAGATATACTCCGTACTCCGTAAGATGTTGATGCTTTTGCATTTAATGTTCCAAAAAGTTTTGAAAAGACATGTTGCTACAATACTTATTAAATCTTATTTTCCAGCTCTTACACCCTATTTTCCAGACATAAAGCTGCTAAAGGAGCCAACATTTAATGCGTCCTTTGCACATGGACTTGCCCTGAGCTGGTGACCCATTTTGCAACCCATTCGACCCGTTTTGGCAGTGGAATTGGGCGGGAAACTCAGCCAACTTTCCACTACGTTTTGTATATATAGAAAGATATACGAAGTATCCAAAAACTGCATAATTGTTGTGAGTCGGGCCGAGTCCGCCTATATAAATTGTAGATAAATACTCGTAGTCAAAAGCATGCTTAAATTTTCCGCCAAATCTGAAAACGTCAGAAAGCGATAAACTATGTGTTCGTCAGAGTCGCGGCTTCGCGCCACCCAAAGCCCTAGCCAGTGGAGGTTCGTATGGGAAGCTCAGTCTCATATTCCAATCCTTCGATTATATCTTTTCAACCCGAACTTCAAACCCGCAGCTGCTTGCACCCATCTCCGAGTCGACGCAAACTTGGAGCTGTTTTTTCTCAGTGTATGCTTCATTGAAAATGATGCTGAATCTCAACTCGAGACCTCGCTTAGGGTACCTATTCCGAGGGTTTTGGTCGATTCCGAATCTCCCGTTCATTCTAGAGTTCTGGACGATCACATTGAAGTTAGGCTCGCCCTTCTCCTCCCTGTTGACCATCCACTCGGTTCCAATTTTGACTCTGCAATAGGCTCACTTGAAAAACAAGAACGCAATGGTGGAAATTTTGCATCAGATGAGGCCAATGTATTATCTACGGGTTTTGGTGCGTTTCTCATTAATGTATTTGCTTCTCTATGGTACCTTGGTTAAAAAAATTATATAGACTTTTAAATCACTTTGCTTTGAAAAAGTTAATTTTTGGGAAGAGCTAAGTGGGGTTGCAAGTACATGGTTTAAAGAAGCCATTTCCTAATTTTGCATTTTTTGGGCTGTTATCTGATACAAGTATATGGTTTAAAGAAAATGGTAAATGTTAGAAAAAAAAACTGTTCTTTCTGTAGATGTCTAGATGATGAGCTAATCTGGTTCAATTTTTGGTGTATTTAATATATATACATAGATTGAGTGATATGCTTGTTTAAGAATGACTTCTGCAGTTCTGCTTCATACTTCTTAACGCTAAAGTCCTAACTGTTGAATGCCTTGAAATTCAGAAATTGTAGCACACATGGACTATAAGTATAGTGCATTAGGGATAAATACCATGAGTGATAGCCTCATCATATTAAGATGTTAGGTTTAGTGATGAAGGAACTTGCAGATTTAATTAAGTCACTTAGAAATCAGATTTTCTTACAATCACTGTTCTAAATATTGCTCTTGGTGTCCAACTAGTCCCCGCCTAGACGCTAGGCGGTGGTCAGGCGCCTAGATTTTAGTCTAGGCGTTCCGAATAATTGATTTTAGGCCTAGGTGGATTGGTCGGCCGCCTAGGCACCTAGTTGCCCGCCCAGAGCGCTTAATCGGCCATCTAGGCATCTAGATTTGTCGAACATTTTATTTTGCCTTTTATTTTAGTATTGTAAGAGATATATGTACCTTTAACTTTAACAAGCATATGAAGAAAGTCATTAGTTGTAGATTAAGATAAAAAGTATACATGTTTATATATAACCTTAAGTGTAATTATTATTTAATACTACCTCCATCCCAAAAAACTTTGTCATTTCAAAAAATTGAACCATGATTTTGATTAGTATAATATTATGGAAGTTAAAAATTTTGTACTTTTATGGAAGTACTTTCAACAAAGAATATTTTCATATAATTTTTATATTAAAATAACTTCTAATAAGAAGATATAGTTGGCCAAAGTTTTGAAAATGACAAAGTTTTTTTGCGGCGGAGGTAGCATAATGAAGTTACGTGAGTAGGTATAATCATTTCATTTTCATTTACCCCAGTGCCGCAAAGGCTCCCATCTACGGTGGGGTAAGGGGGGGTCGGATGTACGCAGTCTTACCCCTGTAAGACTGTTTCCGGATGACCCGTAGTGAAAATCGCGTCCAAAATTGCATGGACTGACTGCTGCTTCATAAGAAAGAAGCGCAGACAGTTCTTGAATTATATTATATATTATTAAATGTGACAACTCTACCATTCATGCGTGTTAATGTGTATGTGTGTGTATATGGTTTTTACACACACACAAACACAACATTAGTAATCATATTTATGCAAAAATATTGATAAAACTATAATTTCCATGTCTCCAATTAGCCCCCGCCCGCCTAGCGCCTAGCGCGTTTTAGAACAGTGCTTACAATAAAAGAAGTTTGTTTGATTCATTTTTCAATATCTTTACTTGAAATCATCTTGAATTAGATCTACAACGACTATCTGCTGCTGATGAAGTGCACTTTTACTGCCGAAGTTGCTCAACAAAGTTGACTAGGGGTATCAGGCAGGACCTCTCTCCCTCTCTCTCTCTTTCTCCCCCCATAGACATAAACATGCACTGACTGAATGACAAAATCTTACCCATAATTTGTTTTTCTGTTTTCCACTCAGAGTGGCCACCTATGGAATGGAGTTTAATTCACATTTAACAATAAACACTTGGCCACATGACTCTATCCAAATAAAAATATTGTTATCTTGTAGCCCTGTATTTTGGAAATATGTATTCGTAGAAATTGTTCAGCTCCCTGTGGTGGTCAAGAAAATATGCTGTTGACTATTTCATGTTAGATTCAAATCATTCAATCCTAGAAAGGTTGCACACTTGCACACATCTTTCACTCCAAGGTCCTATATAAATATAATGTGGCAGCCTTTGCAGCCCATGCTTTTATTCATATGCAGAATGCAACTATTCCAATTGCTCTTAACATATTTCCTTATAGAATTTCAACCTTTTTCCATTACAAACGTTAAGTATTCATATTTAGATTATTATTATTATTATTTTGGAACTCTTGAGGAAAACGAAATATTTAAAAATATTATACTAAATGATATGACATGCTGGGTAGGTAAGGGCTAACATGTATGTAAGTAAAATTTCATTCCACAAACTTTTCCTGAGAAAATATTTAATATACAGGGCTTTCTAGATTGTGATCTGAGATGTTAATGCAAAGATTTTGTTTGTAGGTAGTCTTTAAATCTTTATTATACGCTTGTTTAAGTTGTCATCTTCAAATGACCTCATATTATTGCTGTATTTCTGTTATACAGTACTTTCAAAGAGATGCCATCGGTTCACTGGAGAGATGTCGCAGACAATTGGTTTGGCACATGTTGTTGCTCGTTTGGTGGAATAAGTGAAAAGCTGGTTTTAAATTATGCAAAATCTTATTCTAGTGCATCAGGCTTGTGCCTATTAAGTGAGACATCTGTTGTCATAAGCAAATATGACTTTTTGGAAGGTGAATTTACCAATATTAGCAAAGTAAAAAAAATTGACCCTGACATAATATCAGATACGTATTCGAGCATACCGGTTGGTAATGAAAATGATCAACATAGAAATCTCGGTGGTGATAGTCATTGTGAGGTGCATGCAATTAAAAAGAGCGCCTATGTAAATTGTTGCACTATTGATTCATGTGAAAATCCTTTGGGACAGTATGAGACTTCTGTGGATTCGGAGCTCCAAGTGGATCAGAATATATTTCTTAATGGTTATCTTGGAGATGTTTTCATGGCAAGGCCCTCCAATCTTTCAAAAGATATTGAGTGGATAGAGTTTTTTTGTCCTAAATGTGCATGTCTTCTTGGTGCATATCCTAGACGTAATGATCATGGACCTTTGGATGATGGAGTTCGGCTCTATAAATTCTACATTTCAACTTCTTTGTCTGCCAATGGAGCACATGATTTATTTAGGTCGGCTATTAACACTAGCTGTGCGCTTTATTTACCTGCTTTTTTTTCCTTGCATGTTTTTTTAAAAGAATATACTCAATATAATAGTATTCATTAAATTTGAATTTCAGGAGTTATAGCTTTGAGAGGATGTTCACTAGGCAGTTGCTGGAAAGTGCAAATGATGAACTTTCATTTAGGACAGTTGTTAGAGATCTGCAAAATCATCATCATTCCCTTCAGATTGTTCTTTTGAACCCAAATATATGGAGCCATGCTGGATTTTGTTTGCTTGCCATAGAACCAGTTCCCAAGATAAATGTGTACCCTGTGATCAAGGTCTTATTTTCTCCCAACATCAATGACGTGCAGCTCGAACCCAGGTCTGCCTATTATTTATCAATGAACCCCTTCTTATCAATGTGATAAGGCACCTTTTTGTACAGGAACGAAATACAGCAACTCAGTAAGATATTTTTTATAAAAAAAGTCGAGATAGCTCGTAGTGAGGTTTCAGTTATATACCCCTTATAAATAGTCTTCATGTTTGTTTTCTAAAATTATTCTTTTACGTGGCACAATAAAATAGGGAAAGATCGACGGAAATATTTTTAATGCAACCTTTACATTATAGAGCTATAGGCAAATGTGGGATGATGTGCTTTATATTAAAGGCTCCATGTTGGCCCATTTTGTCAGAGTCCAACTAAATTTCTTCTTCATCAATCCTATCTCCCCCTTCTCTCTGCAACTCTTCCCCTAGACTTTGCACATCAAGTTTCTCACTTAATCAAGTCTGGACATGTTTTTTTTCCTCCTTTCTTCTTGGACTTCTCTTAATCTGTTTCTGTATTACCTCTTAGTTAATACTTAGTACTATATCCTCCTCCTCATGAGTTAATACTATGTCTCTTGCTAGTGTTTAAATACTCCCTCCACCCCAAAATGATTTGCAAAATCAACTTTTTTAGGTCAACACAGTTTCACTTTGTTTACTTATCAAGCATATCAATTTTTATTACTCCCTCCGTCCCCTTTTAAATGTCCCGGAAGAGGGTGACACGAGTTTTAAGAAAAGTGGGTTTGTGTGGTTGATATTAATTGATAAAGTAAGAATAAAGTAAGAATGATTTTGAGCCACACAAACTTTACCAAATAAGGTATGAGACAATTAAATAGGGACATCCCAATATGGTAAAATGGGACATTTAAAAGGGGACGGAGGGAGTATATTCTAATTTAGGTTTTGCGACTTTATAAGACTTTCAATGTAGTTTCTATTTATGTAAATTTTAATTGTTAAAACTGATTTAATTATCCACATGGATGATTTGAATTTAACGTTAGTCCGTATCAATCCTCGCATTTTGTCATTATTCGTCGGCTAATTTGCGTGGGAGGTAAGTTGGAGGCTGCGGCCAGGTTTACGGCGGTGGCGGTGGACTGGAAGTTGGCCGCTGGGTAGGTGGTTGGGGGCTGGTAAGGTGGCTGGAGGCTGGTAGAGGTAGGGCTGAGGAGGTGGGCCAGGTGGCTGGAGAGTCGATTCGGCGGCGGCGGTAGTCGGCAGCGCTGGTCACTAGCCGGACAGTGTTGTCACCGGGCGGAGTAACTATTGCCGGAGTCACTGTGGTGGTGTCACTGCGGAAATGTCACTGTGTGGAGGTGTCACTGTGGCCGGTGATGGTCACCAGCCGGCAGCAGTCCCCGACTGGCGGCGGTGGTGACACTGTGACGGGTCACGGGTGTCACTGCAATGGGTGTCACTATGATGGGTGTCACTGTGTCGGGTCATGTAACTATAAGATAAAGTAACTGCAGATTAGGGATAATTTAGTAAATTTAACACTTATGGGTCACATTTCTGGAAATTTTGAAAAATGGTCACTTTTTTGTTAACTATCCATTTTTTAGTAATATTTTAGGCAAAACCCCTGTCTTATACCCCTACCCCGCAAAAGCAAAGAAATTAGTGTGGGAGTATGCAAGAAAGTTTCAAGTAGTAATGTACTGATGTTATATTCAAATCTTGAGTTATGTAGGAGATTAGTCAACCTAGAACTAAGAATATGAATTTGCAAGCATCACAACCCAAGTTCATACCTGTTTAAAAGCCAAATCAGCTGTGATCTAGGCAGCATAAGAATGGAATTTGATCCTTTTGTACTTGTGATGGACTTGTCCACTTGTTCCGTGAGCATGTGGGTTATACACCACCAATGTGTTGTAATGAGACATGACTGTAACAACTGTCTCAATTCATATCGCCACTTCATCATATTTTTCATGGAAGTGGGAAAATACTATGATTATGAAGGCTCTGGAATTTCATGTCATCATTCCTTTAAAAAGTTGTGACCAAGAGGATATCAGGTGTACAACAATTGTCACTGTTATGTTTTCATGACTTTTATATTGTTAATATAAATCATGATTTTTATTATTCAGGAATGTAGAATGGGTAACTAAAAAGCAAGCTCAAGAGGTTTACCTGTTGCCATCTCAAATAAAAGAACTGATTGCAAATTTGGAGAAAGCTCAAAGTACGTATCCACCATCACATAAATTCTCACAGGGGTTCTCTGTGTCATCCTTGAAGACTTGAATGGTAACTTATTCTTCTGCTCTTTTAACTTTTTCAACCTATGTGATTTCCATTTCCCTAGTTAACCAAAAATTCTTAAGTGTAAACCATTTGATGTGTCAGATAATTGTAGTTTTGTAAGACAATATCTGTAATGAAATTGCCATTATCTTTTATCCAATCAAATGTAAACCCACCTCCCACATTCAATAATAACCCTCAGGTGACCAATTTCATTTTTCCGTAATAATAAATATACTCAAAGGATCAATTGAGCAGGTTGCTTAGCTATGTCACATGCTCCTAGATGGAGTAGAATTGGTGACGACGAAAGCTGAAGCATTCCTTTGTGGTAGAAGTTCTCTCCCCTCAAAACGACAAAGCAACAAAAGCATTGTTTTGTGTTTCCATGTCCATACTCCATACATCAATCCATTGATTTTGAGATGTTTTTTACTCAAATTAATTAATAATTTGAAAATCGATTTTCTTTAAAATTTTCCCCTGCAGTTAATATGAAGCTCCCACCTTATCCCTACACAGCTACACTGTCAATTTTGCTCAATACTCTCTGCCTCACTCTAAACTTCATCTTTTTGCTTTTAGGCCAGGCCAATCAATGCTTTCCTTGGAATTGCATGGTTTAATGGAGAGGAAACAGCCGATGATTCATCAATAATGTTATTTCTTCAGTGATGGGTGGGTTTTACAGGACTGTAGTTGTTTAAGGCAGCGGTGGTTGTTCTGGCTCTGGCTGTGTGGAGGTACAGGAGTTGGAAGCATTTAGACTTCCAGAACCCCCCTCTCGGCTTAAAGGAGGATGGGCACATGCTGACATTAAGGGGCCGTTTGGAAATGGACCAGCTGTTTGGGCTGAAAAGCCTGTAAAGACTGAATATGTTGAAGTGAAAGTGTTTGGTAATATGTTGGCTGGAATAGCTGATTGACTGATTGAATGTAAAATTACCATCAAGGGTATTTGCTTATTTGTATTAAATATATGGTGTGCACTTTAGTACTCCGTAGTAAACTACATAGTATTTTTGCTTGATTAGGTAATTACGAGGTACTTTCAAAATTGGGAAAGTTCCCGAAATGGTACTAAAAAGTTCAAAAATTCCAAAATAGGATTGTCATGTTTTTATTCCCAAAAAAGGACTAATTATTGCCAAATTTGGAAAATACTGCCATGTTTGAAGTCTGGTACTGCCAAAACATGGTAGTAATTAGTCTTATTTTGGGAATAAAAACATGGAAGTCCTATTTTGGAATTTTCAAACTTTTTTAGTCCCATTTTGGGTAGTGATGGACCCGGGCCGGGTCGAGCCCGGGCCGGGTCAAGGCCCGGTCGGGCCTCGGGTCCTATAACGGTAGGCCCGGGACCGGCCCGGTCAATGACCGGTTCCGGTTCGGGCCGGGCCACCCGCCCGGGTCACGGTTCGGGCCACCCGCCAAGCCGGGCCGGGCCAGTACAATTTTTTTTTATTAATTATATATTATACAAATTGCTATTAAAAACAAAGTTCAAGTGCATTTATTTGAAATAAGAACTACATTTGAGAATTGAGAAAAAAATAACAATACGAAATATATTTTGTAATGAATATCAATTGGGATTTCCGCCACCGTTGGTTGTTGTTTTCTCTTTGTCACAGGATTTCATATGTTTTATTGGCATCCCGTATCCGTATGAACGCCCCAAGCAACAGTCTTTCTTGCACCACCTGCAAGTTGCCCACCACAGTCCGGTCTTCGGGTCCTTCCACTTGTCAAAATTGTTTTGCATAAGGGAAGATGTACTTTTCATATTTAAAATGGTATATGTATAAGTAGGAATGTAGGATAATAAGAGAAGATGAAGATGGAGAAGAGTTTGAGAAGAATTGGAGAAAAGGTGTAGAAAAATGTTAGAAAATAGATGTATTTATAGATGTTTTTGAACCCCACTCCCCACACCACCACCCCCGGGACCCCCCCTGCCCCCCACCCATAGCCCCAACGGCTATATAGCCGTTTGGGAGCTTTGAATTTTTTTTTTTAAGTTATACACATATTGTAAAATAAATTAATTAATTTAATGAATTAAGTAAAACTAAAACTATTTGTACTTAGAAAAGTGATTTGATTTATAATTTACAAATGTTACAAAATAGGTGTATAAGTATTTAAACAAATTACATATTCTAAATGTATTTTTAATTTAAAAACCGGCTTTATATTTTAGAAAAATAATTTTAAGTCGTTAGATTGTAACCAATTAATTAATTTGAGAAGTGCTACATATGAAAAAGTGAACACATATTTATTTGAAATATGAAGTACAAGTTTACAAATTAATTTGAACTACAACTACAAATTTACAATTTTGAAATATGAAGTACAAGTTTACAATTTTGAAATATGAAGTACAAGTATAAATAAATTTGACAAGTGCTATAAAATACATTTTGTAATAAATTCTAAAATACTAATCAATCGGAATCTCCGGCATAGGTAGAGCCACCATCGGTTGTTGAGTCATCCATAAAATCTTGGGAGGGGGTGATGCTCAATTCTTGAGTTCTACGTGCGGCCTTCAACCAATCGTGGTAGCATATAAGCGTCTCAAGAGACTCCGCGCTCAATCTCGATCTAGATGCCGTTAGGACGTTGCCGGCCGAACTAAATTCTTGTTCCACAGCAACTGTTGAAACCGGCATTAATAGTACTTGCTTAGCCATCCGTGCTAAAATCGGGAACGTTCTTTCTTTTGACTTCCACCAGTCTAGAACGTCAAAGTCATCATTTTCTTCAAAATCAACTTCATATGTTAAATACAAAGTAATCTCATTCAATGCGGTTATTATGTCGGGCCAATTCTTGTTGGAGTTGTTCTTCGGACATCGCATCTCCATCTCGCCTTTGGTAACCCGTTTCAAAATCATCTCGGCTTTGAGATGAAGACCCGGCAAGTTCTTTACCTTTGCGGGATTTCTTCCTCCCAATCTCGTTTCTTCGATTGCGTTGGAGGTTATCCAAATCAACCGAATATCTACCACCTTCCATCTAAAAAATGTAACAAATATTAATTCACAACAAATATAATAATGGATACAAAACTAATGCAACTAATTAAAACTATTTTAATTAATACTTCAAACTAATTTTTTGCAAAGTATAATTAATGTGTGTCTCTACAATTAAAATTATAGCAACTTTTGAAGTAAATAACTAGTACAAGTAAAAATGTAACAACAATGCTAATTAAGTAGTTAACTAGTATAGTGACAAATGTAACAAACTAACAACTAGTTAAATAAAATGTGAAGTATTTTAATTAGTATAATGAAAAATGTAACAAGAATAGTAATGAATTAATTAAATAGTATAATGAAAAATGTAACAAGAATGCTAATTAACTAATTAACTAGTATAATGAAAAATGTAACAAGAACGGTAATGAACTAATTAACTAGTATAATGAAAAATGTAACAAGAATGCTAATTAACTAATTAACTAGTATAATGAAAAATGTAACAAGAATGGTAATGAACTAATTAACTAGTATAATGAAAAATGTAACAAGAATGCTAATTAACTAATTAACTAGTATAATGAAAAATATTACAATAATGCTAATTAACTAATTAACTAGTATAATGAAAAATATTACAATAATGGTAATGAACTAATTAACTAGTATAATGAAAAATGTAACAAGAATGCTAATTAACTAATTAACTAGTATAATACTAGTTATAGTAAGTAATATATAATATAATGTTTATATTATATAATATATAAGTATACTACTATAAGATGAGTAATACACTTATATTTTATACTTTAATATATAAAATATATATTAAGTAGATGTAGAATGTATGTATTAAGTGGATATAATAATTGTATAAGAATTAAATATTAGAGTATAATGGAGAATTGGAGATTGGAAAATAAGTATATATAAAATATAAGTAGAGAAGTAGATATTATTATGTATTAAGTATATAGTAATAGTTTATAAAGTATATTTAATACTTTATTATATAAAGTATATATTAAGTAGATATAGTATGTATGTATGTATGTATTAAGAGATATAAGTAGAGATTAAGTAGATAAGAAATATAAGTAATATAGTATATGTAGATAATAATATATAAGTAGATAATTAATATATAAGTAGATATAATAATTGTATAAGTATTAAATAGTAAAATAAAATATAAAGGAGAATAAGAGAATTTGAGAAGATGAATATGGAGAATTGGAGATGAGTAGAGAGTAGGATTTAGGTAGAGTTGGAGAAGAGGTGTGAAAAAATGTTTAAAATTAGGAGTATTTATAGGTTTTTTTTTAACCCCCACTCCCCACCCCCCACCCCCCACCCCACCCCACCCCCCACCCAAAGCCCCCTGACCCCCCCTGGTACCACCCAACGGCTATATAGCCGTTTGGGGTGGCCGTTGAGCCAAAAGAAGCAAAAAAAAAAAAAAAAATTTTTTAAATTTTGGACCGTTAGGTCCGGGCCCGACCCGGCCGGGCCGGGCCTCCAAAACCAGGACCCGAGCCCGGTCCCGCTAACCCGACCGGGTCTCTGCCCGAACCGGACCCGGACCCGAGAACCGGGCCGGTTCCGGGCCCGCACAGTGGCGGGCCGGGCCGGTCCCGGGCCGGGCGGCCCGAACCGGGTCCACGCCTAATTTTGGGTAACATCTCTTCAAAATTTTCTTGCATTAGTATGCTTTAAAATGGAGTCAGTTTTTGACTTTTTTATCATCATGAAATTATATTGCTATATTTTGCGATATTACAATGGCAAGATAAAACAAATGCTAACCCAAGAGCTAAGATCAAAGTATCTGCCCAATGCACTACACTAAAAAATGCTGACCCTTGATTCAACATTTCAACCTAACAAATTGAGTTAAGTTTCATTAATTTAATTGAATTGAAACTCTATCAGCGAACATATCACCACAACCTGCAACTCCATGAGTTAAGTTTCATTAATTTAATTGGGATATACTTCGTACTATTTACTCACCAGACCTAAAGCAGTTTGAACATATCAGCGAACAAGTTTCATTAAAATTTAAGCTGGACGAACTTCACTAATATGAGGATCTACATACAGAAAATCTGCTTAATATGATGGACGAAGTTAGATATCAGCGAACAGTTTCATTAAAGCTTTAATACAGAGAAGTTGAACGAGAAGTCGTCGATAAGGGACCTGGAAGGAGCGGAGCAGATGAAAGGCCGATCCAGAAGTGGTAGAAGACTTCTGTGAAGGGGCAAAGGGGTATTTTACCTTTTCAACAGTAAATTAATTAGGGAGTTTCTATCCACAGCCCCGATATTTCTAAATACAGCCCCCTAATAGTTTAAATATCTAATATGCCCTTTTTTTATTAATGAACGAGAGCTTATTGGGCGGCATATAGATTTTTCACCGGCGAATCACTTCCCCTGTTTGGCGATGAATTTCAAGCGAGGCAAAGAGATTCTTGGAGAAAGGCGGATGGTTTTGCTAGGAGATGGGACTCTCAAGTTCTCGGTGGATCTATTTTTAAGCGTAGACAGGCAACAAGTCGATCGACGACCTGCATATCCGACCAAACAATTTCGCTGCAGAACATGGAATGAAAAACGAGTTGAGAGCAATTCAGAGAGAGCGAGGATTACTCTTCTCAAGCGACATCTTCCCATATGCAAAGCAACTAAAGACAGGACGGTATCTATTTATATTTCCGACGCAGAATAGATGCAGAGAATAGTGTGCTATTGCAAAACGGGGTGCAGAGAAGACGATGACTCAACCGACCAGTGTGCTATTGGAGTATTGGACAACAAAGATGCCGTCCGAAGCTAATGCTTCATGCCCACTTGATAAACCAGTAAAATCAACAAACTTAGTATTGAAGGGAGATTTTCAAAAGAAAATTCAAGGTCTCACTCATTGAGAATTTTCAATTTTTTCCCCGGCGGCAGGGGACTCGATGCTATACAGGTCCCAAGCCTTGTTGAAGATTATTTTCAGGTGGAAACTTTGGTTTGAATGGGCAGACCTTGGAATACTTTTACCACTCCAATCAAGAAACGTTAAATCAATCTCCATGCTTCAAGAAGGAACTGGAGACTTGTTACGGATGATATATTAGATACTCTGTATAAATTGGATGAGGGTTGCGTAAGTAAAAGGGTATAATTGGAATTTTTGAAATAAAGGGCTGTGTTTAGTAAAACTTTCAGCCAGAAAAGTTAGGGTATTACTACTTTTTTGGCTGATCAGCCCAAACAGCCCAAACAGCCCAATTGGCAAGTGTTTGGCTTTTTTTTTTTTTCTATTTTAAGGTTTATCAGCCTATTATTTAGGCTCCAAACGGCCCCTAAGTCAAATTTCATTTTTGATTCATTCTTAGTTTTTTACATTGTCCGTAGTACATGTTTATTAGATGGCGAAAAGTTGCCTTATTTTTTCATTTTTCGTTGTCAACATAAGGTAGAACAAAAAATATTTTCCTTGCTGAGGAGATCATGATATCTTTGGCGCAGAAATGCTAGTCTTTTTTTTTTGTAAAGTTGATGCGCTTGCCAATGTGAGCCGGACTAATTGTAGCTCCAATCCCCAGCTGCTTTGCCGCAAGAAGAGGCAAATTATATTATACACCCGGGTGTACCATGCCCATGGTACATCCGGGCCTTTTTTAAAATTATTTGACCGGTGATTCTTGCTCCCCGCTGCATCATACTGATACTCTATTCCGATCCAAGGCTGATTGAACCACATGGGAGTTGCTCTTGAATGTCTTCCACACTGCCGACTCCCCTTCTCTCTCTTGATCATCTCTATGTTCTCCTCCTGCTAGCGGAATACGCAGTTTGTTGTTGGTGTTTGTACCGCTACCACCGGCGGCAACAAGAAATCGAGTTTTGGTCAGGGATTGACACCGGTAATGGTTTTCAAACATCGGATATACTTCAACTGTTTGTTGTTGGTGTTTGTACTTAAACAGGGCAGTGTTGGAGATGTCTACGTAGTGTTTAGACTTCAAACATTATATTCTTCATCTGGTGCCATGAACTCAAACAATTAGAGCATCTCCAATGGGGTAGTGGATTAGAGTAAAGTCTATCCTACGTGGCATAAGAGAGAGATAGAGATAAGATGATTATTTTAATTTAATATAGAGAAAGTGGTGTGTATGGAAAAATGAAAAGGAAAAGAGAGATAGGTGTAAATTGTAGACAATGTCTATGACAATGTCCACAAATATACATTACACGGGAATCGAGGAGCAAAAGTAGATGAAAAGTGGGTTAGAAGTGATATAAAAAAATGAAAATGAAAATAAATATGGAGATATGTAGGTTCTACACATAAAATTTGTGTGATAAAAAATAGGACCCATTCGTAAGAGTGTAAGACAATAGACATACCCATTGGAGATGCTCTTAGATGTGAGGATATGAACATTTAGTGCTATAGCAATAAAGGGAACACATTATTAATGGAAGGGGATGCAAAAGGCTTTTAGGTGTGCGCCGTTCTGGTCATTGGCGGTGATTTTGTCCTACTGATTAAACACACCGGCAGAATTATTGAAATGAGTTTTAGATTGAACTCAAATGAGTATACGGTCTTAAAGAAATGAACACATAAAAACGAGCTTTTGAATATTTTGATGCTCATTTCGTACGTAATGTATGCTCATTGGCTCTAATGTTATACTCATTTAAAATGTTATATTAATGCATATTTTAAAAGTATTATATTTTATTAGATTCCCATAGAAGTTGATTATAAATATAATTTATTCACAAAATAACTAATAATACCAGTGCATTATTGTACACATAATTTCAAAACCACGATACTACATTACACTCACATAAGAGTTGTTTATAGGCACGAGAGTATAGATCATGATACTCATTTGCATGATTCTAATTATCACTAGATGAGATTTGATACTCAATTGAAATGTCATGATGCTCAACTAACAAACCTTACGATTTTCAAATCAATACTCATTTTGTAAGTTATGTATGCTCATGTCGTGCTAGTGTTACGCTCATTTAAAAAATGTCATATCAATGCATACTTTAAAAGTATCATATTACATCAAATTTGCATATTAAAATTCATAGGAGTGAATTATAGATATAATTTAACAATTTTTTATAAAATAAAAGAGAAAGAAAAAATTGAATTTGAAGATATGAATTAGAGATCGTGATGCTCATTGTGAGCCTCCTAATATTCATTAGAATAGGTCAGATAATCATTAGAAGTACATTAATGTTCATTTAGCTGAAGCCGTGATTTTTTGTTTAAATTACAAAAATGCCACCGAAAATAAAATGTTCTATATTAGTTAATGGGCTGTCTTTTTCAACTAGGCTGGATGTGCCTACATCCGGTTGTAGGATATAGCTACTCGCAAGAAGACACCTAACCCATAATACACAAGCTACGGCCCAATCTAGGGATGGACCCGGGCCGGTTCCGATTCGGGCCTGGGCCCGGCCAGGCTTTTTCTTTGGGAAGGGTGAACCGGAACCGGCCCGGGTAGGCAGCGGTTCCGGGCCGGGCCGGTTCCGGTTCAATGTTTTTTTTTCTTTTGATTTTCTAAATAACCCCCGACCCCCCCCCCTCACCCCCCCCCTTCACCCCCCCCCCCTTCAACCCCCCCAAACCCCCACAAAACACCCAGCCCAACCCGGTAGAAACAAAAACAATTGAAAAAAAGAAAAAAAAAAGGCCCGAACCGGCCGGGCCGGTTCGCATTTTAGGGGGCTCGAGCCCGCACCGGGAGTTGAGCGGTTCCGGTTGGCCCGAACCGGCCCCTAGATCGAGTACCGGGCCGGGTCGGGCTGGGCTCAAACAGTACCGGGCCGGGCCGGGCCGGTTCCGGGCCGGGCGGCCCGACCTGAGTCCACCCCTAGCCCAATCCCCAATTGCGAGTTACGATCTCTCGGCACTCCGCTTCTCTCAACCAGATGTTTCAAATTCAAAGTTAAGTCTGTGACATAAGCTTTTTGTTGGAAGAAGATTAATAAAGAGAGCCAAATGATCACTAGGTGCTCCTTCTAGGGTTCACCACCTACTTCCCCAAAAATGTCAAGATAGCTTTCAGATACCAAAATCATGTCAGGATTCTCGTCCACCCAATTCAGAGACACTCTCCAGCGTTCCCAAGTGAACTGATAGCCTTGAAAAGCAAAATTCCTCAGACCACTCGCCCAAACAAACCCGTGGAACCCCCTAAGAAGCCAAAGAGGATAGGGGACCCGCCCTCTATTCTCGGATGGAAACATAAAATCGTTAAAATCTCTCATTACCAACCCAAGCGATAGGTTCCCAGGCTCAAGGATTTAAGCATATTCCAAGATTCTCGTCTTTCTGTTTCTCTCCGGGCAACCATAAAAGGTCGTGAAACACCAACTAGGAGCTCCCACTCCCAAGCTAACCTACACAACAATGAATGGTTTGAGGACCCGTCAATCTGGACCTGAACCCCTTCCCTCTAGATCAAAGCTAAACCGCCTCTGTGACCATCACTCACAACCGTGTAGTAATGATCCATACCAATTTTTCGCATAACAAATTCAACATTGCTTGCGCCAGTAAAGTCTCCATTAAGAAAACCATCGATGGTTGCTTAACTTGCTTTAAGTGAACCACGTACACTAGTACTTGAACTGTCGTCGGGTTGCCAAGCCCCCAACAGTTCCAACTTAGGCAAGTCATTGCTCTCAGCGAGCCTGGAAACTAGAACCCGCCGCTATCCCGTTTTTTGGAAATGAGACATCCATTTCTTGCACTGTCGAGCATCCACCACCGCCCCTCCGGACGCCTTCCTCTTCTTAGCCGCTGCCTCTTCCGCATGCAAAGGCACTTCAATTTCTGCATCTTCATCATGCAATATCATTGCATTGCTACTGCCTGAGGAAGGCTCCCCATGCAAAAATGTGCCCACCCATTCACAAGCCACTTACTCCCTTTGTTCAAGCTCCCCCTATTGGATCCCGCCCTCAACCAAGGGCCGAAGGGCTTCTCCCCCCACGTTTTGCAAATTCAAACCGCTGCACACGCATATGATCAACATGATTCATGAGTCCACAAATGAAACAAAAATGTGGCAAACGTTCTTATTTCAAGTCCACCAAAATAGGTTCCCCACCACGTTTAAGTTTGACCTTCCATTTAAGTGGGGGCATTCACGTCAAATGAGACCCGAATGCACATAAATTCTTTCCAACCTCCTTTAAAATTGTTTTCGTCAACCATCATGAAAGAGCCAATTTGATCTTCAATAATCTTACCTATCTTTTCTATGAATAGTTCGAAAGGCAGATTAAAAGCTCTAACCCAGAAATGAACACGATCCAACAACATCGTTTTAGGGTTTTCACTAGCTTCAAGTTTATGAAACCCGCTCATAGAAACCCGCTCAAAGTCGGCGTGATCATAAAATTGGAAAAGGTACCTTTGATCATCAAGTTCCCGAAAGTAGACCCCTCTGCTCGGCCGCCACACGTCTGCCATGGTGTCCATGAAGAAAGGAAACCTGACAGATTT